GTTTCTCATGCTTACATTAGAATGACTCAAGTTTGGGGCGAGCGTGTAATGAACAATGGAGGTTTTGTCACAAGTATGTTATAAGTAGGAATATGGTATGCATAATAAATGATGCTAAGTAGAAGTTGATTCAACACCCCCTTCTTTTTTTAAAACACAGAAGTACAGAAAGACAAATAATCATCATGATACAATCAGGTGGTTCTTTCATTGTTACTTTACGATGAAAAAAAAAAGTGATATTTAAAATAAGCATTATTAATATCACATGTGAATTCTCCAAACTGTCTTTTGTTCATTTTCATTTCAAAACATCTTTGAACTTACTATCTCAGTTTACTCATGCTAGCATTTCAAGCCATTCTGGGTTGTGTGCATTGCATGGAAGCATTATGATACTCGTATACGTTTATTTTTAGAAAACTTATATTCTTGGGATTTTTGTAACTGAAGTCTGTGTCTGGTTCATAGACCAAGATCACGCCTGAAATTCCTAGAGTTTCATTAATATGAAAATGACAGCCGTACTTTTTGTAGACACCGTAAAGAAAACGTCTTGAGTTTATCACAAGAAAATGTCACCATCCATACCTTCTTTTGCATCTGCCCTCGCTTGCTGAATTTCCCAGGAAGAATTTATGGCGTCTTCCTTTGGCCCCCAACCCTTTGGCCCCACACCTCTATTATAGCACTTAACACACTGCCCTGCAGCTCTTTGTTGAGGTGTATTCTTCTGGCTGGAACTAAGGCAGCTGTGTGTCGTATTCATTTCTACATCTCCCAGCCTAGCAATGCTCTTGGCTCAGTAAATGTGTGTGGAATGAATGGGGATTGATGGCTCCCTGTACATTCCTTTGAATATAATTGCTTATCCAGGCTTTGACTACAAATCCTAAATTTTAGGAAAACCTGATTGGTCCGTTGTTGTCTGATTGGGGCTATTGCTTTTGAAAAATCTCTCCTTTAGGAAGAATTACTGAACACATTTTTGCTTTGGTGAGTGTGTGGGACAGTCCTTCAGCCTCTAGAAGAGGCATAAGTGTGCGGCAGTGTCCTTTCCAGACCCAAGTTCTCTTCGCTTTTATTGCCTAAAAATAAGCCTCAATGAAATGTTTAGATATTTTTATTAAGAAGGTGAAAGAGCTTCTTATGGAGAATTTTGTAGACTGTCCCTTGACTAATTTGGTGAGGGGAAGAAGCTTCCATCTTACATGATTTGTTTCTATGATGGAATGTAAAGTAGTGCAGAACAAAACTGCCTTTGACGATTTCTTTAACCAGATTTGCCACCGCGGTGTGTCATGGGTCCCTTATCAAAGGAAGAAAACACCTTTGCCTCTCAGAGCAAGGGTAAGGGCGATTTTGATTCTCAAAGACTGAGTACTCCGATTTCATAGGACCCGAGGACAAGCCCAAGTTCTGAGCCATTCTCAAGTTGCAGCCTATTCCTTTTTTAAGCCAGAGCTTTAAGTGGGGGAATAGTTGTCAGCATTCTTTGGGAAAATAACATCTTAAAGATAATAATAGAAATTTTTTTAAAAGAGGGGGGCAGTACATAAACACATGAGCATAGGAACTGGTGAATATTTTACTCTCCACGTCATATTTACCATCAAGATTATTTTTATTAATTAAAAAATTTTTAGAGAGATTTTTGCTATAAGGGTGCCTGTTCTTGCCAGAGAAACAGAAAGTGATAAATTACTCCCCACAGGAATGGCCATGCTGCAGTCCCTTCTCCATACTCCTCTTGGGATTTTGGGCATGCACACACAAATGCCCGTTGTGATTTCAAGCCTCTGGGTCCAGGAATCGAACCATGATTGGCCACATGGGAGTCCAGCAACATAACCATTAGGCCATTTGCTACTCCCATCATCAAGATTATTTTTAAAGAAACCTATTCGGATGTCTGATTTGACTTAAAGATAAGGATGAAATTAAAAAAAAAAATTTTTTTTTTTTGGAGAGGTTTTTGCTATAGGGCGTGTGTACTCGCCAGAAAGATAGAGAGAGACAGAGAGACAGAAAGCGAGAAATCACCCCCTGGGGGTGGGGTTGGCCACGCTGCAATCCCTTCTCCTCCATTCTCCTCTATTCTCCTCTTGGGATCTTGGGTACGCACGCACATGTGCCTAGTGTGAGTTTAAGCCACCGGGTCCAGGATTTGAACCACAGTCAACTACCTGGGAGTCCAGCGACATAGTCATTACGCTAACTGCTGGTCCCAAGGATGAAATTTGAAATAGAGGTTGACAAGTTTGTGCATCGTGGTAGAAATCTTGCAGCCAAATGGGCATGCATGTGGGCTGTACGAATGTGGCAGAATCAGCAGGTTCTGATTCTACTGAGACTTCAGGTTTCTCCTGAAACAGGAACATTACCATGGCCTTGATCACTGGTAGACTGTCGTCCCCATAAGTCACAACTTGTAGGTAAGAAAGCATTGAGCCTGGCACTGGGAGTCTGTAGCTGGCTGTTCAGACCTCCTGGTTTCTGGAATTAGTTTTGTGTGACATAATACCAAAGTAGAGAGGGACAGAGGGGTAGAGGGAAACTAGAGAATCAAATTGCGCTTTTCCATTCCATGTTTTAGGCTTCAGTGGTGAGGCACAGCGTTGTCCACGTTGACAGAAAGACCTACAGATAGGCCAAGGGAGTGACCGCAGTTAAAACTATGTTCTTGCGTTGTTTATAGAATCGGATATCTTCAACTATGTGATTCCACATAAAAGAGCTTTTTTCTTTGGACTGAAGATTACTCTAATATCCAAGAAGAATTTCAAGTAGTTTTAAGAGTCATATTCTCAAAATAGGCTTGGGAACCGATATATATCAGGTCTCTGTGTTTGCATGTGTGTTTATCTACATAAACAAACTTCCTAATGGAAAGATACCAGACACTTTCCTCTTAGATTCCCATCCATCCAGATGGACTCCATAAAGCACCCTAAGGACAGCTTATCGAGTCACTGAAAACATGACTTCCTCTTTACCCACCAGATTTAATGGGAAGAGAGGTTATATTGACATATACAACTATTTAATATAGTTATTTAGTTGTTTTGTTTTACACTATATTCAGCTATGATGAAAGGTACACTTATTTAAATTAAAAAACGTGAAAGTTATATATGTATAAGACCAGATGCCATTATTATAAAGATCTTCTGAAATAACTATATTTGTAATTAATAGTCATTTGTAATTGATCATCTGTATGTTAAGGAGACGACATACTGAGTATGGTTTTTCATAGTTTAAGTGTTTTCTTCTCAACATTACTTATTTGCCTCCTTTGGTAAAACATTTTTAGCAAGGGAAGAGCTCAACTCAAGAGGAAAAACCTCAATTCAGGCCACACTGAAATTATACTTCTGCGCTAGTACAATTCAAATGAATAAGGTTTTTGCTATTAAAAAAATTTTTTTAAGTTACCTTTTTTTTTCTTTTTTAAATTTTTTTTTTTTGAGAGGTTTTTCACTGTAGGGCACGTGCACTCACCAGACAGAGAGAGACATAGAGATAGAAAGCGAGAAATCACCCCCTAGGGGGGATGGTCACACCGCAATCCCTTCTCCTCCATTCTCCTCTCAGGATCTTGGGCACGCACGCACACATGCCCGGCGTGAGTTTTAAGCCACCGGGTCCAGGACGCGAACCGCAGTCGACTACGTGGGAGTCCAGCGACATAGCCATTACGCTAACTGCTGGTTCCCTTAAGTCACCTTCTCTGTCAATGGATGAATGTGGACTACCCAGAGGAGGAGGCTGTTTTTGGTTGGTGCTCAAAAGTTCATACGACTGAAATGCACTGCTAAGCGAATAATGAATGCATATCTGGTGAGGGTTGTTGGGTTTGAGGTATTATTGATCTGTTTCCTGCCTTGATTCTTTTCATGAGAAAGTATATTTACATCTCTTCAGTCTTGAAAATTCCACTACTGCCATATCTTCAGTGACTGTTCACCCTCTGTCCTTTTCCTTACCTCAAGGTGAATAACTGGCTCTCATACTCTGTCTTCCACGCCATTTTTTTCCCCTTTTTTGAGAGATTTTTGCTATAGGATGTGTGCCCTCACTGCAGAGACAGACAGACAGAAAGTGAGAAATCACCCCGCCCACACACACAGAAGGTATGGCCACACCACAGTCTCTTCTCCTCCACTCTCCTCTTGGCATCTTGGGCATGCACACACATGTGTCTGGCATGAGTTTTAATCTGCCAGGTCCCGGACTCGAACTGCAGTCAACTACATGGGGGTCCAGTGATGTAACCATTATGCCATCTGCTGGTCTCCTCCACGTCTCTCCTAATAGTAGTGGTCACGTTTTTGAAAATGGGAGTTAAGCGAAAGTGGGGTTTTGTTTTATTTTGTTGTTGCCATCTTGCCTTTTCATGACATTAGGGTGCTCTTCTCCCCCATGTTCCCCCACCCCCCAGCCCTACTAAGGTTCTTGTTTCCCTTTCCCAAGGGACAGTGTTTTAGATGATTGTCTTAAAACTCTGATTAGATTTCATTTTTACTTGAGGCCGTGGGATATTTATACTTGGTGTCTTGTAAAAATAACTGCAAATATCTCAGACACACTGTTAAGCTCTTTACATAAATGAACTTAATCTTCTAAGGGGTCTGGTGCTGTAAGTGCCATCATTATCTCTGCCTTACAGATGAGGAAGCCCAGGTAGAGTGAGAGTAAACAGAATGCCTGGGGTTTCTACCTGGCTCCCGATGGTACCAGGATGTGACTCTGGGCTTTCTGGCATCCTTCCCATTCTCTTACATCTGTATTTTAAGACTTTTGTCCAAAACTAAAAGTCCTTCAAGAACTTGATGGCATGCTTCTGGGATGTTGGAATATGACACAGTGGTGTGTCAGTGGGGAAAGTGTCAACCCTGGGACCCCCAAACTCATGCTCTGTGGCGGTAAATGTCTGCAACACCAGTGGGGTTTTCCCTGATGCTTTCTTCAATCTTTCGATTGTGTTTCCCATCTAGGATTGCTCTCATTGATCTGGCCTCGGTTTTGTGCCACTTTTACACCTTGTCTACACCTCACTTAGAAAGGTAAGTGTGTCTTCTGCTGAAACCCCGGGTTCTGCCCCGCTGACCCCCCGGGTTCTGCCCCGTTGACTGTCCGAGGTCCGTCATGACTGCATTCCCATCCTCTCCCTACCCTAGAATACACCACACACAGCCTTTCCTCTGCTTCAAGGGGAGGAGGAGATTCTGTCCCAGAAAACACTAGGTCTCAGAGGATTTGCATTCGAAGAACTCCAGGCCTTGAGGGAAAAAATAGGGTTGGAGGATAAAGGTTGAGAACTTATAAAAGGATTTTTCACTCTTTAAAAATCAAGAGAACATGCTCAGAATTATCATTGCTATCTATTCATATCAAATTAGAAATAATAAATATCATACCACTGGTTTTATTTGCCATGATTTATTTACTAGAAACTTTGTGATTTCCTTCTGTTACTTTTTTTTTTTTTAAGGTTCCGATTTCTCTGTCTTAAAAGTAGATACTCAGGGGGAAAAAATTAAAGGTGTTAGCCTCAATTTAGCATCATATATCTAGTTTGAAACGTGTGTTACAATTTAAAGTCTCTAAATCATCCTCGTAAATTTGTAATATGAGATGATCCTCGATTTGCGTATGTTCTGTCCAGCTTTTCTAAAGTTGTGAAATAGGCGAGTCACTCAATCTAGTGTTTATTTGAGGGAATTCATGGTTGGCAAGGTTCTCATTACATATCAGAAGTTGATAGTTCTTATTTCCTCCCTTTCTGGTGGAGATTATGACTTGTTTTAACCATCTGCCTGTAGATGGTGATTCCTAATCCCAGCCTTAAATGTCATACCCACTGTTTTCGTTCTTTTCCCATAATCCGTGTTCTTGGTTCATGTCCATCGCACCCTAAGCACCCCTCCCCTGCTTTTGCAGCCTCAGTGCTGTTGCTTAACCGTGGTCCTGGCGTCTCGCCACACATTTTTTGCAACATGCCCTTGACTGTATCAATGCCATGTTTTAAAAACATATTCCAGTGTTCTTGTAAGCTGTCTTACGTCCCATCTTAACTTTGACTCTTCTCCTAAACCTCTCACTAGACAAGCCACTCCCCAACTTATTTCTATGATCTTGGGGCTCAGTTCTGTGTGGTCCATAGAACTCAGGTGTGTCAGGGGGAACACTGAGAATGTGAGGTGTGTGTGTTTAAATTCCTGGTCTCCAAATGATTCTAACTGAAATTAGTCTGCCCCACCAACGCATTCATGAGGAAAAACTTAGCACAAGTCCCAAAATGCTCGAATCACTTCAGTATATTACTTGGATAACTTTTTGACACCTTTGTAATACCAGTAAGGAATTCTAATAGATTGGAACTCTTTGAAATACATTGGGTTATGGAAAAGTCATGATGCATTTTTGCGTAGAGAAACAAAAAAGTATATTCTGACTTTTCCAACAGCCCAGTACGACATCTTAAATGTTAAACTGTGCGGGTAGTACCAGAAATTTCTTCTGTAAACACATGATAGGAGATGGAATTGTGTCATGAGAACTGAAGAGAATCAAACACACTCTTTGTTACACATCGTGTTCTGAAATAAGTTATGAATGGGTCTTAACTGTGACTTTACCTACTGTGTAGAGTTGTTCTTAATACTTCTCATTTACAGGCCAAACTGGCTTTGTACTTTGAATTCTATACCAAGCTTTGTGCTTCTATATTTACATATATAACGTATAGTCTGATAATAGCCCTCTGTCTATGAAGGATCTTTGGAAAGTTAATGGAAAAGTGGATATTGTATGAAAAAAGCTATACATAGATTCCAAAAACTTTTTAGACCAAAATAAACTCCATTTTCCATAAACTGTTTGAATTACCTTTGTTTCCCAATCTTATGGCAGAGGTGACAGGTTTATTTATTTTTTAAGGGAATTTTTGCTACAGGGTATATGTGCTCACTTGGGAGACAGAGAGAGAAAAAATGAGAAATTACCCCCTAGCAGAGGTGGGGACCCCGCAGTCTCTTCTCCATTTCTCTTCTCAGGATTTGGGGTGTGCATGCATATGCTCCCAGTGTGATTTTCAAGCCGCCAGGTCCTGGACTCAAACTGCAGTTGGCCACTGGGGAGTCCAGCGCCTTAACCACTATGCCACTGCTGGGCCCGTTACTGAGGCTTATAAAGGTTATAAAACTTGACTGAGATTTCATACCTTCTAAGTTGCAGAGCCAGCATTCAAACCTAGAACTTTCTGACTCCAAACCACAGCTTGTCCTACTGTACTCTACCGTCTTTCTAAGGTTAGATCTACAATAGAAGAATACTATCGTTTTGCATAGTTTTTTTTTTTTTTTGAGAGGTTTTCGCTATAGGGCGCGAGCGCTCGCCAGACAGACAGAGAGAGACATAGAGACAGAAAGCAAGAAATCACCCCCTAGGGGGGGATGGTCACGCCGCAATCCCTTCTCCTCCATTCTCCTCTCGGGATCTTGGGCACGCACGCACATGCGCCCGGCGTGAGTTTTAAGCCACCGGGTCCGGGACACAAACCGCAGTCGACTATGTGGGAGTCCAGCGACATAGCCATTCCGCTAACTGCTGGTTCCCATTTTGCATAGTTTTAAAACTAACTGTAGGGACAGAACCTAGCGTTCAGTACAGTATGCTTCCCACATGGTGAGTGAGTGAGAGTAAAATGTATTATCCTATCACTTTTATGTAAGGAAGGTTATCTAAGGAATGCCGACTTCCCCTCTCTGTATTTTTTTCGACTTCCCCTCTCTGTAAACAGTTAAAATGAAGGCAGTTGGGAGGTGAAGGAAGCTGGGAATCAGGAGTATAGGGAGTGTTAAATATTAATGTTTAAAAATAAAAAAATAAAGCACATTTTTCTATTAGTGTTTAAAATAATGCTGGAGACGAATGTCTGTGCTGTAACAAAGCAGACGTTACTTGAGGACTGGCTAAATTGATCCATTATGCGGTATATACTAAGGTCATTTTTTCCTTTTCGTTTCAGCAGCAGGAATTAAAAGTGATTCATAACACACACACACACAGTCACTATGTAAATTGGAACCACATTAAAATCGTAGTCATTTTATGCTTTTTCCTAAAATGGTTCCCATTTACCCCATATAGTCAACTCAAAACACGTAAGAGTGTTGTTAGTTCTGATTCAGGAAAGATTTAGAACCCTGAAACTTTATAGTTCAGCCATAGCGTTGATTGTTTTTGTGCTTGCTTTCTTCCTTTCTTTCTTCCTTCCTTCCTTCCTTTCTTTTTTATTTATTTTTTTGCTAGTGAGAATTACTGCATACCCATTTTAATGTACATAATTGATAAATCCGAAAGAATACTCTGTACCTCCCCTCTTGAAGTCTCTTTCTGTAAACACAAGCCTGAGCATATTACTTTCTGGGTTAAAAACTTTCAGTGGTTCTGATTAGACAGCCTCGGCGGACAGAAAGTTATGGGAGCACTGAAGAATTCCAAACAGGCAAGTGACAGGAATGTATCTGCATGTTAGAAGACTCTCCAACAGCAGTATTGTGATGAAAAGGAAGAGGAACCAGTCCAAAAACAGAGACTGGGGCTCCTGTACGGAGTTCACTCCCTAGCATGTGGAAAAGTTTCCTCATACTGACCTGACTCCTGGCTCTTTACCTACCAGGCTGGGGATCCATTTAAGGGGTGCCACGTGAGAACGTCACCTTGGCCAGTAGGGTGGACTGGCCCTCCACTGTCCACATTCCTCCCCACCCACCCCCACCATGTTCTTGGGCACCGTGGATTAGAAAGTTGATGGTTGCCCGTGTTAGGTGATGGGGATGGGATGGGGTTCAGTGACTGTCTCTCTTCCTTTCTGGGTCTCACTTGTCTGGTGAAGACAAGGGATGCAAGTGCCAAGAGAGGCTGGAGCCTTGTGAGACCAGAGTAACCTCACCATTGGGTTGCTCTGGTTTTCCAAACCTCTGCCTTGCTGGGCTAGCACACCACACCCTCACTTCCATGTTCACCCTCTGTGAGTTCTCTTCTTGGGTACAAATTTAACATGACTTGCCTTATCACCAACCAGATAGAGGGCCTTTGTGCTTCAATCTTGCGGGGACCTTCTTGGCAAACTGCCTCTGCAGCGGGTTCCTTCCTCCCTAAAGAGCGACAACACTCCCGGGTCGACATTTCCTCCCCGTGCCTCACAGGCGACTTAGTGGTGTCCCTGTTTGGCAGGAAAATGACGTCCCCTGGTGCTGATTCTGAAGTTCTCCCAGTCAGTGCTCTCTACACTATCCATCCTAGTCTCTGAATGATGACCACACAGCTTGGTGTATCTAAAACCCTCTTCAGTTTTCATCAGGGCTTTTCTAGGTCCCTTCTGAAGGTATTGCTGTCCCACCCTAGGCTGAAGTGGAGTTTTCTTGAGGGGCATGACTGACCTCAAGGTCTGAACCCCCTCAGGCACCTCCTTTGGTGCCAGAAACTCATCCCATTAGTGCAACATCTTCAAATCAACAATTTTGCCACATTAAAGATTTATATCCTTTCTCTTAGGGTGGGAGTCTCACCTCCCCCAAAGCACCTCAGTTCTCAGCACACCCTCATTTCCATCTCAGGGAAATAAGCAGTTCCTCTCCCTCCTAGCATCCTGGTCTCAGAGGCGGGTCCAGACTTTGGAGCAGGGGTGTCCTGAACCTCAAGACTCTCGCAGCACTGGCCTCACGTTCCTCCTCCAAGCAGATGTCCCTCCAACCCCCTGGAGGTTTTGGTGGTGTTTAGCTATTCCGTTTAAGATCAGGCTTAAAGCTATCTTTGTGTGCCTCTCCCTTTCTAGGTATTTGCAACGGAATCAGAGGAGTTAATCTCGTGAGTATACTCCAACATCTGTTTTTTTTTTTTGCCGCTTTCCCTATCTGCCCCAGGGTTGTAACGCTCAGGACTGCCCCGGTCACCAGGGCCTGCGCAGGATCCAGCTGCTTTCTGCAAGGGGGAGGTGGCCTTTCCCTGGATCAGTAGCACAGATATGCACTGCTCTGAGGACAGTGCTGAGGCCTTATGGAGGCCCCATGAGTCTGAATCTCACTTCATAATGCCAAGTGTGCAAGGAGTGTTAACTTTCCTGTAAACGGTCTCTCTCGTTCACACTCCAGTCCCCATTCTGCCAACCTTACAGGAAATTTGCATTTCAGTCATGTTTAGGTACCTCTCCTTTCCCCATGGGGAGTCTCTCCAAAGCTAGAGATTTCCATGGCACCTGGAAGGTGAGGAACCAGCTTCTCAGTTTTTGGTATGTCACAACAGTGGCCTCAAACTCTGCATCCATTGGCCTTCGGCCACAAATGGAAACAGGAAGCCCCTTGTCTAAGGTCCAGCTTCCAGGGGCACACTTTACACAGCTGTTCCCGGAGGCTTCTGCCCTCTGCCTCGGGAACAGAACGGTGCAGGGACCCTGTTGCTGAGGTTGGAAAAACCTCCTGTTCCTCTGCAGGCCCCGGGGTGGAGATAAGGGTGGATGAGAGCGTGTCTTTTTTTCTTTTTTTTAATCATTCTTTATTTTACTTATTTTATTTAATATATTTTATTTTATTTTAATTTCTTTTATACATTCAATAACTATACATGGTTTAGCTTGTAAAGTGCATTTTCCAACATGAATACACTTTACACCAGTGCAGTTGGTGATACTATACACGTTATCATCTTCATCTTTTTTTATTTTTTAAATTTCATTTTCTTTTATACAGTCAATCACATTACTTACCTTACAATGTGAATATTTTAACATATAAACATTTCTCCCTAGTCCACTTGACTAAGCTATAAAATATCTTTTTTTTTAGGTTTATTTTTATTTACATTTTTAATACATTCAATCACATTATTTAGCTTACAAGGTGATCATTTCAGTATATGAACATTTCTCCCCGGTTGAGTTGATCAAAATATAACAACACTCCCTCCCTGTCTCAACAATGCTGTCTTCGTATCCCTCCTCCAAATGTCCTTCCCCAGGCCCCACTCCTCCACACACACCACATCTGGCATTTACATCCACCTCTCCTGTTTGTACATCCTTTAGCCCGTCAGTTTCAGTTATAGAGTGCGGACATTCAGTATGTATAAAGTGGGGATATACAGTGTCTCTCCTTCATAGCCTGGTGAGAGCGTGTCTTTTTAACTCTCTGATCCACCCATCTTTCGCCCTCTTCCCCTCCCAGAAGTACTGCAAAAGTTCCTTATTGAATTTAAATGTTAACAAAGACGGCTTCAGGCTGCTTCTGCCTTCAGCTGGGTGACATACAAGGGCTTCCAAAACCTGTTACTTGTTCTAAATGAGCTAGAAAGGAATGTTGTTGGGAGGATAAAGTACAGTCCCAGAGGTGTCCTATCATGCTGATTTGGAGACAGCACAGCTCCCAAACAGTAGGTACCTAAGAACAGTCAGAGAAGGAAGTCGATTCTGTGGCTTTTCAGTGAGAAAAGTCTAGCCCCAACTCCAGACTTTCTGACTGTGGAGAGGCTGAGAAGTGACACACGGGAGCATCACAGCAGTCAGCTGCTTGCCAAGGGCAGGACCACGGGCAGATCAGCATCCCTTCTAAGCCACAATCTCCCTCTACGTGACATAGGGTTAATCCTGCCTACTTCTGTGGTGGCTGAGGGTATTAGAAAGAGTACCAGAACAACCACCATCACCTGGTGGCTGTTGTGACAAAGTGGTGCCATTAGTCAAGACAGGGAATGCTGGAGAAGGAGCACGCCCGGAGGGTCAATGTAAAGCCTCTGCTCTGTAACAGGTTTCCTCAAGGGACAGCGTGAGATCTCCGCACTGAGAGGTGCAGGAGGGAGTTGGCTGTATCAGTCTGGAACAGGAAAGAAAGTTCAGGACTGAAGATAGGAAGCTGGGACGCCTCAGACCTCGAGAGTCAGTTGAACCCCTGGGCTATAAATGAGGTCCCCCAGGGACTGTGTTTCTAATGAGAGATGGTAGAAGCCAGGGGCCAGGCCCCACATCTGTTCCAGCTTCAGGTGACCCTTAAGCATCATGCCCCTCTGTGTCGTCTTTAACATGACATCGTTGTTCTGAGGTGGATCTGAATATCCTATTGAGGGTCATCTTCATTTCAAAGGTAGAATCGAATCATTCACCATGATCCATCTCATGGTCCATCTCAACTAAATAAGATTTAATTGCCTGTGATCTACCCAATCCTTTCCATCTAGAATTTTGGCCTTTAGGAAATAAAATGTATTTGAGAGCCTTTTCAAAGCCAAACCTTGCACGTCTTCAATCCAGAGCATTCTTTCACTGAAAATCAGGGCGGGCTTCACAGTAGTGGGGGTTGCTCAGTTCTTTCCCATTCAAATCATTAGAAATAAAAAAGTCAGTATGAAGAATTTGCCTAAGTAAAAGCAGGAGTAGCTAGACATGACCCTGGTGCTGAGGTTGGAAAAACCTCCTGTTCCTCTGCAGGCCCCGGGGTGGAGATAAGGGTGGATGAGAGCGTGTCTTTTTTTCTTTTTTTTAATCATTCTTTATTTTACTTATTTTATTTAATATATTTTATTTTATTTTAATTTCTTTTATACATTCAATAACTATACATGGTTTAGCTTGTAAAGTGCATTTTCCAACATGAATACACTTTACACCAGTGCAGTTGGTGATACTATACACGTTATCATCTTCATCTTTTTTTATTTTTTAAATTTCATTTTCTTTTATACAGTCAATCACATTACTTACCTTACAATGTGAATATTTTAACATATAAACATTTCTCCCTAGTCCACTTGACTAAGCTATAAAATATCTTTTTTTTTAGGTTTATTTTTATTTACATTTTTAATACATTCAATCACATTATTTAGCTTACAAGGTGATCATTTCAGTATATGAACATTTCTCCCCGGTTGAGTTGATCAAAATATAACAACACTCCCTCCCTGTCTCAACAATGCTGTCTTCGTATCCCTCCTCCAAATGTCCTTCCCCAGGCCCCACTCCTCCACACACACCACATCTGGCATTTACATCCACCTCTCCTGTTTGTACATCCTTTAGCCCGTCAGTTTCAGTTATAGAGTGCGGACATTCAGTATGTATAAAGTGGGGATATACAGTGTCTCTCCTTCATAGCCTGGTGAGAGCGTGTCTTTTTAACTCTCTGATCCACCCATCTTTCGCCCTCTTCCCCTCCCAGAAGTACTGCAAAAGTTCCTTATTGAATTTAAATGTTAACAAAGACGGCTTCAGGCTGCTTCTGCCTTCAGCTGGGTGACATACAAGGGCTTCCAAAACCTGTTACTTGTTCTAAATGAGCTAGAAAGGAATGTTGTTGGGAGGATAAAGTACAGTCCCAGAGGTGTCCTATCATGCTGATTTGGAGACAGCACAGCTCCCAAACAGTAGGTACCTAAGAACAGTCAGAGAAGGAAGTCGATTCTGTGGCTTTTCAGTGAGAAAAGTCTAGCCCCAACTCCAGACTTTCTGACTGTGGAGAGGCTGAGAAGTGACACACGGGAGCATCACAGCAGTCAGCTGCTTGCCAAGGGCAGGACCACGGGCAGATCAGCATCCCTTCTAAGCCACAATCTCCCTCTACGTGACATAGGGTTAATCCTGCCTACTTCCGTGGTGGCTGAGGGTATTAGAAAGAGTACCAGAACAACCACCATCACCTGGTGGCTGTTGTGACAAAGTGGTGCCATTAGTCAAGACAGGGAATGCTGGAGAAGGAGCACGCCCGGAGGGTCAATGTAAAGCCTCTGCTCTGTAACAGGTTTCCTCAAGGGACAGCGTGAGATCTCCGCACTGAGAGGTGCAGGAGGGAGTTGGCTGTATCAGTCTGGAACAGGAAAGAAAGTTCAGGACTGAAGATAGGAAGCTGGGACGCCTCAGACCTCGAGAGTCAGTTGAACCCCTGGGCTATAAATGAGGTCCCCCAGGGACTGTGTTTCTAATGAGAGATGGTAGAAGCCAGGGGCCAGGCCCCACATCTGTTCCAGCTTCAGGTGACCCTTAAGCATCATGCCCCTCTGTGTCGTCTTTAACATGACATCGTTGTTCTGAGGTGGATCTGAATATCCTATTGAGGGTCATCTTCATTTCAAAGGTAGAATCGAATCATTCACCATGATCCATCTCATGGTCCATCTCAACTAAATAAGATTTAATTGCCTGTGATCTACCCAATCCTTTCCATCTAGAATTTTGGCCTTTAGGAAATAAAATGTATTTGAGAGCCTTTTCAAAGCCAAACCTTGCACGTCTTCAATCCAGAGCATTCTTTCACTGAAAATCAGGGCGGGCTTCACAGTAGTGGGGGTTGCTCAGTTCTTTCCCATTCAAATCATTAGAAATAAAAAAGTCAGTATGAAGAATTTGCCTAAGTAAAAGCAGGAGTAGCTAGACATGAATGAGCTGGAAGGAAATCCTTTTGTTCACTTTGGGTTTCAGTGTACGCACAGCGGGCATCTAAACCAGTTCATTAACAGAGAGAAAGACAGGTCACAAATGCTGTTCTCAGAAGCGAATGCCTAGAGGGACAGATTGTGACAGTGAAAACGCATTCTGGAAATCAGACACTAGATTCATGAAACTATAGTTCTGTCGTCAGGGAATACATCATTTCCAAAGATTTTCCCTATTCATTTCAAACAATTAACTAGTCTGTTTACCGTGCCAATGTCTGTTCCTAGAAAAGTGTGATTTTTCTTGCTCCTCTAGAGTTCAGAAACGTTTACCTTTAGAATTGTTTAATGTTACAGGGTTATGTTTAATTTACCACATGCTTTTTCAAAGAAGTAATTGATATATGAAACCCTTTTCTCTGCTTTTGCAGTCTAAATTCTGACCTGAAAAGCACTCGCAAGCAGCACCCTGTCAAACCGAGAAGTGTTATTTTTCCTAACTGTCTCCTCTCTGCTTTATTAAACCGCCTTACAGTGCGCACGATTTTCCCGGGCCGGGCCCGCTCTGGGTTCCCGGTGGCATTGTTAACTATTGAAGCATTAGACTGGTGCTGAGATGGCAGGTGGGAAAGGCCGAGGGACTTGATCTCCTCGCTGCCAGAGTTCTCCTCTTTCACTAGTGCTGCTGCTAACATTGAAGAGCTTAAGACTAAGCTCCTGTGTGAGCCCTCGGAGGCGAGGAGTATTGTTGAATTCAGAAAGGAATCGCTTTCTTTTTGTGATCATTTGAATATTTTGACAATGAAGCTAAGCTACTCCCCGGCTTGGTCTGCGTGCCGCACGTTACGTGCACCCTTTCCTGTGAAGCCGAGCCGAGCCCCTCTGCCTCTCTGAATGCCTCAATTGGCATTGTCCGTTTGTGAGATGGGCAGGCGCAAAGGAAGAATTTTACTCTTTAGCTTTTATGTTTTTTCTTAAAGCTCTTTAAAAAAAAATTAATACAAGCCTTCGGGAACCACCAAGTAAGCCACATGATAAATGGTGAGCATTTGGAGACCAGAGATGGTCCAGGAAGATGATTTGTGAAGTGTTTGTACATGCAAAACAAAAAACACAGGGAAACAAGCTCTCTGGTGATCCAGACAAGTAACCTCCTCACTTCCACTGTTCTCCTCATTTGAGATGGGTTATTTTAAAAATCTAGTTATCTAAAAGTAGCCTTGATTTTTCCATTTTTAACTTAAAAGGGTGTTCTCATATAAAATAAATGGACATAGCTTTTTGGATCAAATTAAGATAAGAAAACAGGCAAACCAGTGAATAAATCACTTAGCTGAGATACCACTGGTTTTGTTTCATAACCGATGAAACCCTTGGACTGGTTAGAAAGTCATGAAAAGCTAGTCCCTCTAGGAGGACCGACTGGTTGAAATAGTCTTAGGTGGAAGAAGCCAAGTTTTGTGATTGAATGGGAAGACAGAGATACTGGTTTCTGTGTTAGCCGGGTGCAGTGGTACCTGAGGAACTTGGTGAAAAACATAAGGGCTCCGGGCCCTGCTTCACAGGGGCACAGAAATCTGTTTTTAAAAGGTTTCTCTGAGGATGCTGATGTCAAGCTAGGTTTAGTAACTACTGAACTGAATATTCAGTTAGGAGCCTTATACCTTTTTTGCCCTGCAAATGCGAGAAATCTCTCCATTTCTATGAAGCTCTTGTGGAAATTGAGTGCCAACTGGTTATTGCTGACTTTCTTTCAATTCTTGATTTGTTTCAGGTTCTGTTATTGCATAGATTTGCATACTTATTTTATGGTATTTTAATACTGCTGGTTTAAAAAAAAATACCATTTCCTCTAAGTGCTGTTTTGAATAATTTATGTAAGCAATTTCATGTGTTTTGTTTGTTTTTCTACTTGCAGAAAGCAGGGAAAAACTTGAATTTTTCTCATCCAGTTGCAAGTAGGACAGAGGATATAAATGCTTAAAGATCATCTGTTAAAATGCATGAAAAAGCAGTAGACAATCTCTACCCGTCGTCAGTTGTGAGCGTGTGTGTGCGCTCTTGAAGTGAAGCTCAGGTCATAGCAGAATGGGGGGATGTTCTCTAACCTCATTCACTGAAGGTATTCGAGGTCTCTCCTTACAGGTTCCTGTCTTCAGATAAACTGCTGGGAGGACTCCACGGTCACCTCGTAGCTGACGTTGCCTGTCACCCAGTAGGTGCGCAAGTTTTAAAATGACTTCTAGTTGGGCATATTTATTAATAGTTGTAAGTCATCTGAGTTAAGGATGTGCTGGAAGTTCAGGGTGCTTCAAAAGGTTCTAATGGAGAGTAAATGCATTTTCTTCCCAGACCACAAAATGCCTTTGGACAGGATTTTTTGAGCCTTTTCTTTTTTTAAAGCGTAAGTGCACCTCTACATTGCAGGGCCTCTGATGGAACAATTAGCAGCTTTTTGGACCTTCTGCTGCCCCAACCCACAGCCCCAGCGATACCCTCAGGTCTGTAGAATTCTCTGCCACAGCCCTGTCAGTTCAGAAGCTTGAAAGCTGCCCCTAGCCCTGCTCCCGCCTGGGTACATGAGCAGATGCGTTGCCCTCCCTCCCTCCATAGAAGATGTTGACTGATAAGCCTGAGGAAGGTGCTGGTCACATGCCAGCTGCACTAGGGAAGCCAGCTGCCAGCTCAAGGCTGAATTTGGAAATGCCGTAGTGGAGATTGCCGAAGCTCGCTGCTCACACAGCTTGGCGAGGTGTGAGTGGGGGGAGCGCGCTCTTCCTTCATCATAATCGTCATCATTCATGATGCTGATGGACGCCAGGACCCTTTGACACTCAGTGCTGGGCACTGCGCTGTGGATGTCACTTAGACATTGTTCATGGAGTCTCAGTAGTCGGTGCTTATAGGCACTTCCGTCCTCTGAATCTTAGTGTCCCCATCTGTCAGATGGGAACAGTGCCTTTCTTCATATCCCGCAGGGCTATGGATGAAATGGTTAGACACAATAGAATGAGAGCTTTATGAACTGGACTGAAACAGCACATTGTCTTAGTAGATACTCTTTTGGTTTCTATTGAAAGGTAAGATTGTTACTATATATTATTTTAAATTACTGACCAAGAGATTAAAAGGTATCCCAACATATCTGCTAGGGACTGAGAAAGGCACTAGCAGCCCTAATTAGGTTCAGGGGTGAGGGAGAGGGATCGTGGACCTTGCTAGTGTCTTCTGTGTACAGTCTGTCGGACGGTAGCTGCTGCACTAGAAGACAGGTGTGGGAGCTGGCAGGTTGTGCAGTGGTTAAGGCGGCTGGACTCCCACATGGCTGACTGTGGTTCGAGTCTCACACCTGGCACACCTTTCTCACTTTCCTTCTCTCTCTCTCTGTCTCTCTCTGGTCAACTTCAAAAACATGAATAAAATGATGATAATGAATTAAAATGAACTTTTTTTTAAAAAAAAAGAAGATGTGCATGATAACTAGGAAGATCCTGGAGTGTGTCCAATGTTTGATGGGGAGCCCTGGGGCCGAAGAAAGGTAGTAGGGGGTGGGGGGCACTCACACACCAGACGGCGGGAGCTGACAGCCACAGCCCAAGCAGGAGGGATAGCAGAGGCATTGCCATAGGCTACTGGGAAGGAGCGGCAAGCATGCAGCGGTGGGAAATCGGGCTCATTGTGAGTAGGTGCCCGGCCTGAGGCCGAGGAGCACTAAAGCCGCCCCTCCGCTGGGCTGGGGGATGGACCACACATGTGGATCGGGAGGACAGCTACTTAGAGAGTCCACATTCCTTCCCCATTGAACGGGGTATGGTTGTAATGGTTTGTTAAACAAACAAAGGACCCAAAGCTGTGAATGGGGGAAAGAAAAAGACTTAAGGTGAAAAGGAGAGGAGGCCCTGCTTGCTAGTGTTCCACTCTTTTCAAGCTTTCTCCCCACTTCCTTCACATTCCTTTCTTTCTCCCCACTTCCTTCACATTCCCTCCCCCCTTTCAGAGAAGCCAGTGTAGTGGCTTGGAAAAGTCGCCTTGTCTCTTCAGTGCCATTTTCTTTTAAAATGGAAACCTGATGAAATGTTTATTAGCTGAGTAAAAAGGAAAAATTAAGAGCCAGGATAATCTTAAAGGACCAGCGATAAATATTTTTATAGCTCAAATTAAGTATTTCTGGATGAACAATTTGCCTTTGCATCATTTGAATTTGTTGGACGTGACAAGGAAGAGCAAAGAGAATGTTCTTGAGCGTTGTGCAAGCACTTTGTCTAATAAAATGAGGCCTGTGGCCAGCAGGCGGGCAGGCGCGCTTCTGGAGGACGGGAGGGCCGTGGGCCAGGGGCAGCAAATTCGCTTTTCTCAGAGCTCCGTGTGTTCACAGTTTACTCTAAGTTCTGGATACTCATCCACTGAAAAAGCTTGGCGGGGGGGCGGGGGGCTGTGCACACTGCCGTTTGTAAGCTGCCTGTCACGTTTGTGTCCAGGATAATCACATTTGGTCCCGGGCTTATCTTGTGGGAAAGGAGCAGTTACAGGTTCAGAAGCACACCTTCAATGTGCCTGTGCCATTCTGGGGGTAACTTAGTTATCCATGGGGGAGGGAGATGGGATGACCTTTCATTTCCTCCCTCTCTGGAAAGCAGTCTGTTGATGAGGCTGGGGGGGGGGTCCCTGGTCATCAGTGCTGGGTTGTCCTCTCCCCCTTGAGAGTGTGGCTTCTCTCAATCACCTGGGCCTTTCTGGTGGTTTCTCAGGGCTTCCTCCTTTTCCAGAGATGGGTTTTTTTGGTTTTTGGTTTTTGTTTTTGTTTTTTTGAGAGGTTTTTGCTTTAGGGCGCATGCGCTCCCCAGAAAGACAGAGACAGAGAGAAATCACCCCCTAGGGGGATGATCACACCGCAGTCCTTTCTCCTCTATTCGCCTCTCAGGATCTTGGGCATGCACACACACGTGCCCAGCGTGAGTTTAAGCCACCAGGTTCGGGACTCAAACCACAGTCGACTACATGGGAGTTCAGCAACGTAGCCATTATGCTAACTGCTGGTCCCCCAGAGATGGTTTTATGGGCATCTCCCACCTAACTTCTCCCGCACCCCCTACCTCCGCATAGACGCAGAGTCCGTGGCTAGCCTTGACAAAGTGGTTGAGGTAATATCCACCGTCCTCTAAGCAGATCATGACACAGAAGGACTCTGATCTGTAAAAAGCCTTCCTTCTAGGACACGAGGCAACCAGTTTTAGGTTTCTGTTGTTGTTTCTGTTGTTGAGATTAGGGTCTCATTTGTGCTGCCATTATCCAGAAGTGATTTAGGAACATCTTATCACATTTTTGGAACCCAGACTTAATTCTCGTTTTGCCCCCTTGTGTCATCACTGTGCTACATCCCCCCCAGCCCCTGTTTACATCCCCCCCCCCCCGCGCCCCCGAAGGAACTAGAGGAATTTTCCGGCAGAAGGCGTCTTCTGTTCTTCGGAGCTCTGAGAGTGACATGTCCCCACAAGCCAACCTCTGTCCCATTTCATTCGAGGTGTGGAGCAGATACTCTAAGGGAAGAGCAGTCTAGCTGCAGCCTGCCATAAAGAAAAACAAAGCCCTCCTTACCCCAGGGCCAACCCACTTGAGCAAACCACCGGGGAGGAGCGGCTGTTGATCCAGGTTGATTGTGTGAACTACGGACAGACTCTGAGTCCACCCAGGGAGTGCTCAGAGGCCTTCATAAAGTCATCTCTAGAAGCCAAGCACAGCCACTTTCCTGAGGCCCACGGGTGCTGTTCGCGGCACCCTAGACGCTCTTTCGTCCTGGGGTCTCCTCCTGGCCTGAATGCCCACTAGGCATCATTAAACTCAACATGTCTAAGATGGAACTCCTAAGCCCTATTTTTTCACTGGCTTTTCCTTTGGGAACTCATCCTTGTTTTCCTTTCTGACAGGACTATCATTGCCTCCTCCTACCCACATCCTAATCGGACTGGTCTGTTTACGAAGTGTCACTTACGCCTGCCATCTCTTCTCCTTTTGTAGACCGGTGTTATCTCGTCTGAGATACGGCAGAAGCCTAAATGGTCTCCTACCCTGTTCCCATCGCGCTTCAGTATATCTTACACACTCCCTGCTGGAGGTACCGTCAGGAAGTGTACTCTGACTAGCCCGCGGCCTGCAGTGGCTTCCTGTTGCCTGGTCTCCTGGTCCCAAGTGCCTGCGTCATCCCTTCCCCGTGCTAGTTTAGCTTCTCTCAACCCTCTGGCTCTCCGAGGCTCTGTGAGCATTTATGGCCTATGCCTTTCCATTGCTTCATCCCATTCCTGTTGAGGCAAAAGCATTTTCTCCTCCTTCTACCTCTTTTCTCCCCACTTCCTTTGTTCCACCACCACCTACACCCAGAGTTAGCAGCTAGCCTTGCCTAAGTCACTCAATCTGCTAAGAAATTATCAAAATCCTGCCTTCCTCCAGTTAAACAGGCCATTCATGATTTGGTCTCTGCCTATCTCTCCACCCTCTTTGTCCACGTGCACCGTAACTATACCCATAGCCCAGTCCCACCGTGCACCGTAACTATACCCGTAGCCCAGGCCCGCCGTGCATCGTAACTATACCCATAGCCCAGTCCCGCCGTGCACCGTAACTATACCCGTATCTCAGGCCCCCCGTGAACCGTAACTATACCCATAGCCCAGTCCCGCCGTGCACCGTAACTATACCCGTAGCCCAGGCCCGCCGTGAACCGTAACTATACCCATAGCCCAGTCCCGCCGTGCACCGTAACTATACCCGTAGCCCAGGCCCGCCGTGCACCGTAACTATACCCATAGCCCAGTCCCACCGTGCACCGTAACTATACCCGTAGCCCAGGCCCGCCGTGCACCGTAACTATACCC